CAACTGAACATGAGCCAGCTCTGGGCCCAGGTGGTCAAGAAGGCCAACAGCATCCTGGCCTTTTCCAACCATGATACTATGATTCTATGACTTGGCCTCCTTCTATCATCCCGATGGAGACCAGTAAGTAGAGAATGACAGTGAGGGAATAATGAGCAAGTTCATTTTCCACATGCAAATGTCTATCATAATTTGATGTTTCATCAAATTATGTTTTTGTACAGCATTCATTCAGCGTTTTGTATGTTGTTTTTGTACAGCGTTCATTCAACAAACCTCTGCTTCGACATGATGGTCTGTGGAGGTTACAAAAAACTTAAGTATTCACACAACTACAACATAATTACTTCAAAGATCAACTTTTCTTCAAGCTCCTACATATATGAACAAAGACATTCATATTGTGATGGAGACAATGGATTCAAAGTGCTTGTTTTTTAATCTGTTTCAATGTAAAACACACAGGATTCCTACTCTTACTTGAAAATTAAATCCATTCTAATCTAAACTAAGAATGCATTATATCTTATTATTTAATACTGTCTTTTATCTCAAACCATCCCTCTGGATGGAAGGCAAGAAGGGGAAATGCATCTCCTACTGAAAAGCTAAAATGATTAAACATGTTCCTCTTCTTATTTAGACAGGATATTCAAAAAGATGCAGAGGGTTTTCATTGGCCTGTGCAGAAAGACATTGATTTTCTTCATTTTTTATTCAAAACTTCTATCATAAATTCTTTGAGTTAGGATGATTGACATTAGTTTGCAAGATCATACCAGAGAAGCAAGCCACCAGTTCTGTTTGTTTTCTTTCTCTCTATTTATTAAGCTTGGATGAAGCCTGAACAGTAATCACTCCTTCATTAGCTTTACCCATTTTTTTGAGATTTTTTTGCAAAACATTTCAACCACCTTTCTCAGGCCATGTTCTGGACTCCATATCTATGTTTGTATCATTTCACTGAATAAATAGTAGTTCCAGGGAAAGACAGAGCTCAGGGGACAAGGCCAACAATTAAAACAGAAACAAGTAATACTTTGATGAAACACCATGCTTGCTCCAGTACCTTCTTTGGTACAATTCCAGATATTCAGTACTTCAGGAATGGAAGAATTTTGAGAAAGACTGGACAACAGGAATGCGTAAGGCATGCCAATGCACTTCTGGACAGATCAGCTCCAAGCAATTATATTTAGGACAAAAAAAAAACACCAAACAAACAAAAAATTTGCATTGAAAATTGATATGTTTTGTCAACTTCCTTGGGTGTGCACCCTCTAGTTGGCTTTGGTTATTCTTTTGGTCTCTGGAATATTGAATGTTCACAGTCAATAGAGTGGAATCATAGAATGCTTAAGGTTGGAAGGGGCCTCTAAAGGTCATCTAGTCCAACCTCCCTGCACACACAGGGTCACCTAGAGCACGTGGCACAGGACTGCATCCAAGCGGGTTTTGAAGATCTCCAGAGAAGGAGACTCCACAACCTCTCTTGGCAAGCTGTTCCAGTGCTCTGTCACTCTCACTGTTAAGAAATTTTTCCTTAAGTTCCTGTGGAACTTTTGATGCTTTAGTTTCTGGCCATTTCCTCTAGTTCTATCAGTGGACACCACTGAAAAGAGGCCAGCACCATCCCCCTCACTGCCTCCCTTGAGGTACTTGTGTACACTGATCAGGTCACTGAGAGGTCTCCTCTCAATCTTCTCTTCTCCAGGCTGAACAGGCCCAGCTCCCTCAGCCTCTCCTCATAGGGCAGATGTTCCAGGCCCCTGATCATCCTTGTGGCCCTGCGCTGGACTCTCTCAGCAGCTCCACATCCCTCTTGTCCTGTGGAGCCCAGAACTGGACACAATACAACACCCAGGTCCCTCTCCGCAGAGCTGCTCTCCAGAAGGTCGGTCCCCAGCCTGTACCGGTGTCTGGGGTTATTCCTCCCCAGGTGCAGGACCTTGCACTTGGCCTTGGTGAATTATATGAGGTTTTTCACTGCCCAGTTGTCCAGTCTGTCCAGGTCCCTCTGCTCTTATTATTATCTTAAAACTCAAAAGGACTCCAAACAGGTGGTGGAGATGAATAACAGAAGTGGAGAAAGTAATTTCCAAAAAACATTTAATAGGACAAACACAACATTCTCTATCATGTCTTAGGTCATTTGCTCTGCCATACATACTGTAGAACATATATTGACCATCTATCTCTCTTCTGCAAGTCTTCTAACAGTGTGAAGAAACTATGACCCATGCATTTAGCTCTGCTGGAAAGACCTAAGAAATAATAGTGCCAAGTTAGAATTAATCAGATTGATCCAACTGCTCAAATTTGTCTAACAATAGATGGTAGCAGCATTCCTATCAGAGAGCTTCTGAAGGAGGAAAAACAAATAAAAAAGCTACAATTTACCCTACTATTTGACACTAAAGGAAGTATGCAAAAGTTTACTGAGCAGGTCCTAGGAAGATATACAAATAAATTTTAGGCACATAAATACTTCTGTGAAGTAACTGATCCAACTGTTATTTAAGTCTGTAATTGCTTTATGCTAAGTAAGCATAAACTTGAAATACATTTGAAATTAGCAGGAAGGAACATGCCTAGTATTCAGGAAAGTCCTCCTCTACCATCTTCTAAAATATTTCCGTTAAGTGCTAGTAACTTCCATTTTGCCTTAAAAATCTTGGACTTACGAGAATTTACTATATTTTAATAACCTGAAGTGGTGCTTACACAATTATTGGGTGGTTTTCTGGAAGAAATTATATAAAATGATATTAAAAAGAAAAGAAAAGAAAAGAAAGGAAAAGAAAAGAAAAGAAAAGAAAGGAAAAGAAAAGAAAGGAAAAGAAAAGAAAGGAAAAGAAAGGAAAAGAAAGGAAAAGAAAGGAAAAGAAAGGAAAAGAAAAGAAAAGAAAAGAAAAGAAAAGAAAAGAAAAGAAAAGACTATTCTTCCTTCATACTAGCTCCTGTTTTCCATTTGCGAATACATGGTAATAAATGGAGGGATTGCTTTTTCACAAGTTTTCAAGAAAAAACATGGCTTTCAGTTGCTTAGAAACTTTAACCAAACTGGTTGAGGTGGCAAGAACTGAATCAAGATCTTATACTGGTATGGTACAGATGTGTCTTTTCATATGGGATAATCTTTATCTATGGGTAGGTTTTCTAAAGTCTTCCTTCAAAAGAAAATGGAATGCTACGCTATCAGGGTGATTTTGTTTCTTTCTTTCTTTGCTTCTATTTTTCTTTTGTACATAATGCTGTGAAGTTTATAGAATATCTAATTCCTTATTAGAGGTTTAAAGGAGGAAATCACATTTACAGTGCTAGTGAAGGAGAAGCTGCCAATGTACACCTTCTTAGGCACACATGGATGAAAAGAACAGCACACAAGATAATTTTAGCAAATTTTAAATAAAAGAGAAAGAAAAGGATCATGCTGTTAAAAATATGTACCTATGGTCTTTAAGAGTGCTTTTTCAGCACATGAATCTACTTCCAATAAGAAAAAAGCTCATCCTCTATTTATGTACTTTTAAACCATGACTGTATTTTACCTTCTTAATCTTCTTCGTACAATAAATAGGTAAAGCTTAAATATATCTTTGCCTTGCAATATTTATCACAAGCAAATCAGGTGTGTTAAAAGTCTCTACCAAAGTACAGTTATCAAAAGGTAACAATGACAGTGGAGAGAACTAAACCTTCAGAAATATAATTAGGATTTGCTACCTCATGTATTAAAAAAGCTAGAATTTCTGACCGTGGTTCACAGGCTATATTTGATTCATTACACTCTTATTCCTACCTTTGACCCTTTTTCTCTAACTCTCACTTTTTCTCACACCACATAATTCTGAAGCAACAGAAAGTTGAAGAAATATGTAAAAGTTCAATTTCCAACACACAGTATATTGCTAAGGTACTACAAAGGAGGTAATATGATGTTAATTTATATCCCCGTCTACCTGCTCCACCCTCTTCCCCTCTCCCCCTACTCCCAGTAAATTGGGCTAGTAAAGCAGCCCAGTTTTCTTCTCACTAATATCTAGGGAAGAAATATTGCAAAGAATCACATTAAAAATGTAACTTGAATCTCTAATCTTTCATATAGCCAAACATTCTGCAGACATTACCCTATGGTTTTACTCTCTGTAGGATAAAGCAAATGGATCTAGATTGGTGGTCTTCTGCTAGTCAGTTCTTAAATTGATGCATTCCTTTGAAATAGTACTCACTGGGGAAGAGAAAGGGGAGAACTACTTTCAAAAAAATAAATTATTCAAATTAATGTAGTGTGCAACAAGGGAAAACTTTTTTGAACCGTAATGAATATGTGTTTGAATGTGTACATGTGGGTGTTCAGATTTAATCTGTAAGAAATTAATTCAGTAGGCTAGGGAGATAAATAAAGGGAATTAGCAGAAAAAAAAATACGGGAAAAAAAAAATGTTTTATCCAAAAGCTATTTTCTATCCTTGTCTCTCCTTCTTTTGTTTGTTTTAATTCTGGAATGTAAGTAACTAGTTGATTTGTTATCAGCTCTATCTCTTTGCAAGATTTGATTCTGTTTTGAACTAATGCTGAATCTCAATGAGCACTGCTGATGCTAAATGTTGGAATAAGCAACATTTTAAAGCAAAAATCATTGACATTTTCTGCAGCATACTTCATGAAAATGAAAAAGTACTTTATTTAATTTTTTTTTCAGAGCATTCATTCACACTGCTTTCTTTGATATTTTCAGTATAATAGAAAAATATGAAAACCAAGCTACAAAACACAAGTAGAATTTGTATCCTGTATTATCTTACAGCCAATCCCTTTCACTACATTTGGCACAGTCCGTTTTGGGGAAGGTTGATCATACAAATCCAATATCAGCAACTTTCTTCTAGTAAAAATAATAAATACTGCATCTGAAATTTGACAATGATTGATGAGGTTTGTCTTTAAGTCTTACACTTATGACATTGGGCAACTCTAAAACTCTCAAAATATAAAAATGTCCAAATAATCTTAAAATGATTTATGTAGCTAACTGCATTAACATTAGTTTTTTGTCATTGAAACTCTTTATTTTTGCCAAAGCCTTGTTTGTAAGCTCCATGGTTTCATCCCACTTGTTTTTCTCTGGATTTGTGTATGTCACCAAGTTCTCAGTATACTGCAAAATGGACTTCAAAAACCTTTAAGAAATTAAAAAGAAGAAAAATTCATTAAAGGATTAAAGAAAAGGGCACTTTATGACTAATTTAAAGATGTTACTTTTCTTTAAATTTCAAGATCTCCCTCTGGATGGATCAATGCTATAAATTTTCTTCTGCTTCTGGAAGAGACACACTCTCTCACTCTCGCAGCAAGAAGTAGTGATTTTCAGAACTGCAATTAAACACTGCCATACAAAGAGTGTGGTTATATAATGTGTAACAGAATTTTCCTCCACTAAGTTTTCTTGTCTTGCATAGTTGAAAGTTTCACAATGCCTACAATATTCAACCAGCAGTTAACTGTAACACAACAAATTATTCACATATTAAATGCAGCTTTTATGCATTAATATTATTCGTGTATGTTGATCAATCTCTACTTTTAGTAATAAGGAATCAAAAAATGAAAATGTGAATAACTGGACCATAAATTTTCAACTACGTTTTTCTAGTTCTTGAGTGAACATCGTATGACATATAATGACAACTGCAACAACAAAAAGATGACTGACAAGGTACTGAAAGTTATGCTGTTAGGCTTTTTTTTTTTTCCCTAAAAAAATGGATGAATGGTCATGAAAGGAGTATGCAGAGCCACCTATTTGCATAATGCAAGTTCTATATACTTACTTTAGATACTGCTGATAATCAGATGCATTCTTCTTCTCAACCAAATGGATATTGACTAGTTCTAGAGTTATTAGCACCAAGATCAGACGTAACACAGGCAACAAAAATTTAATGCTAGGAATAAGCAAAAAATACAAATTAAACTAAATTAAATTAATATCATTACTATAGAACATTCTTCTGACTTCCGAATCCATTCTAAAAAGCTGCATATCAAATGTGGAAGAAAGACGACTGTCAGAAGTCCACCAGTGAAGAACAGAACTAAAAAGAGATAAGAGTGTTGACATTAATTTAACATATTGCACTAAGATAAAACTTTAATGGCACTTTTTAATGCCTAAATAGGAAAAATTGGAATTCAAAAATACAGTCTAACATTTAAAAAGGTATTTTTATTTAGAAGCTTATAATCTGCAGTGAAGTAGTATAATAACTCATCATTCTCCATCTTGATATTTTGTTATTTCAATATTAGTACATAATGAAAATCAGGGTTAACACGAACTTCTAAGATTAACCACTGAAAACAGCAACAACAGCATACCACCATGCTCTCATACACCTGGCCAGATAGTAAAGAAAAAACATCATCTAACCTGTTTAACATTCTTAGATAGTTCTGCCTCTGGCGAGAACGCAGAGTTTTGTTTATCCACTGCTTGTATCTCAACTCAATGCTCGCAATAACTTGTCCTGACACTTGATGGCACTGTGTGATTATTTTACGGAGAACCACCACTATTTCCAGAACAGACGGCTGGGAGTAGAGCGTGCAAATGCGCCTATCACACAGTTCAGTTAACAGCCTTTAAAACAGGAAGTAAATATTAGTTTCAACCTAGACCGCAGAATCTAATGCAAGATGTATTTTATATTCAATGTGGTTGAATAATAATGTTTTAACTCTGAAAACCTGTAAGCAAGATCTATGTAGCAAGAGCAGTGATTCCGTTCTCTATCACCTTATTGAATATGATTTTAAAAATGTGGGAAATTAATGCTTCCCATTTCAAATCAAAGAAATATAGTTGCAATAAACAAACTGTCTGAAATGATACACTGTAAATATCAAATCACAGCATGCTTGTGGTTGAAGTCTCCCATTACATTTCAATTGATGATTAACTGGAATTCTTCTGGGCACAACAAGTAAGTGACATAACACTTTGTAAAAAAAAAAACAGGTAGTGAAGCCATTTTTTAATCAGCAGCACATCACATTACACTTTGTTAAAACACTAAAATACCTTTCTGCAGTTACATCTTAATCTGCTAACATAATGTGTCACACATCACCTTAAACATGCTGTTCTGAGAAAAGTGTTTTTTCACCTCCCTCATGCCCAAAATATCTTCAGATTGAGAGGCAGTAAACAGTAGGTGCCCAGGACTACAGAACTAAAGGAACAGGTATCCTGTTTGCACTATCCTGCTCACAGCTGATGAAGTTTGATTAGAAGATACTTCCTCCACAGGTCTCTCAAAACTGCCACAAGAGCGCCAATTAAAAGCCCAAATGTTTTGACTACTATTGCAAGTTAAATATGATTGGAACTACCAATATATCTCTAAGTCTGACAACAAGTATAAACATGTTATTTTCTATTTCAAAATCTTGATATTGAATAAGAATAGAAGAAACATGTAGAGGCATATTCATATTTTAAATATTGTGTATAACTGTGACATCACACATCGAATAAAACAAATTTCTGGTGCAGTGTTAGCACACAAAACAAAGTAAAGCTAACTTAATCTAGCAAGTGCAGAAATTACCTGACATATTTAAAATTTAAAATCTGAAATAAAACTAGTTATTTTTTTCCATGCCAATTTCAAAACAGAACCCTTCTGTCACAATGTTCCAAATATATTCTTCATTTTGAAGATGATCCTCAGTAGAACCCATACAATTTTTAGATTAAAACAAAAGCAAAGTTGGAAAAGTGCATGCAACTGTTCTAAGAAAACAGTGAATGAATTACCTAAGGATGAGAATTCTTGGGTTGTATATAGAAACTGACAGCAGGAAGGCAGAGCACATTAAGCTTACCTATCTGTTTGGTCACTATTCACCGGATCAGCTGAACTGTAGCAATTGTGGGGCATATACTGATGCAACTGAGAGAGAATTTCCGATGTTTTTGAAACAAAAGCACTAGTAGCTTCAGCATTTCCTTCAAACCTTGAAACAAAACAAAACAAACAAACAAAAAAGATTTGAGATGAAGACAGAGCATAGTGCTCATTACTTGTCTAAACAGCACACATCAAGATGTAAATTTGGGGGGTAGAAATATATTCAATGTCTGGTCTCAGTCTCATAGTTCAGTTCCTTTCCCTCTACTTTATGAGCATTATTTTCTTTTAACTGAAAATGACATTCTCTCAATATCAGTCTTCTGAATCCTTCCTAATCTTGTTCATCAAAATCCTGAAGCATATTGAGCATGTACCAAATGCATTGAATTTTCATCTCTCAGCTTTTTCTTTGGCTTCCCAGATGAATTTCTCTTAATTAATACAATTTTCTCCAGTGATGTTATTAATGACTTCCTCCTTTTCAAATCACAAGAGAATGTTACATTCTTTTTCTATTTATTATCTCACGTATATCTTCCATCGATTTGGCTTACAGGCCCTTTTTCGAACAAGCAACTGTTTAACGTTTCTCATCTGGTAAACCATCTTGTTGTCTTTATGGACAAACTGGCTTGAGATCTTCAGTATCTCTTCAGAAACAGTACATGGAGACACTGAACTGCTGCATGTTTCAGATGTGTCCTCATATTCATGATTTCAGTTTCCATTGTTAAAAACTATTTTGGGAGTTATCCTTTTTGAATGGCATACATATACCCTTTAATTGCTTGAACTTGTTCCTCAGGCACAACTGGTAGTTCAGACCATAAATGAATGCTCTTCATGCATTCCAGCACCTAAGAATTCAAAATGTATCATGAGAACACATAGTCTTTGACAGATTGGACAACATATTTCACTTTTCTTATTATAAGGGATTATTTTAGAAAAAAAAACCCTGCAATTAGCAGTAAGCTACCTCTTCAGTAGTCATAAATTTACAGAACAGCAAATATTCAGGTAGAAATAACAATACGCAGTGATCTACAAAGCTCTGCATCAACAAAAGGAATGCATTTAATTACTTCTCCTCTAAATTACGTAAGACAAAACTTGAAAGTTCATTAAAAAAACGTGTAAAACAGAAAGGAAGCTACCTCAGGATTCTAATTTCAATCAAAGACAATCAAAGCACCAAAACAGCATTTAGACCAATTTCAAGGATTCACAGACTTGAATGCTTTCAGATAGAAGTACCTACCTGTTTCTTGAGGCGGGAAATTGGATGAAACCGAGAACAGTAGGAACTTGCACAGTTCATCAATGGTTTTATGACCACATGTTCCTGATTTACAAGATAATAGACAAAAGACAACATTTTTAAAAAATCAGGTCCTAATATTATGCAGACATAGACTTATGCTTAACTTTAAGTCCCTTAGACAACTGAATTAAGATTTCCAAATGTATGAGGGATGAAACAATGAGCACAGTGAGAAATTATTACGTTCTTTGACACACTATGAAACCTAATAGCAGTAATCACATATTCTCTTCATGCAGCAATATGCAATCTAGCAACAAGAGCTACACCTAAAAAAGATAAGTTTTATCTCAAAGTACGCTTTAGCATATTGAAAGAAGGTAATCATAAACATTAAGAGGAAATTAAGAGAAGCAAATGTAATAAACACTAATGTTGAGAAACCTTTTGCTAGAGAAAAAGTGGACAGAAATTCACACTGCAGTCACAAACCACACATCCATTATTGTGCTACTTTTATTATTTATATATCTCAGAGAAACAGTCTTAAATCTCACATGCCTCTATGGCTGAACTACAGTTGTTCTATGTATTTGTTGAATTACCAGAAAGGCAAACAGGATAGGTGTCAACACAATCTAACAAAATTAAGTGGTAGCACTATAATCAATGGGTCAACTACGTGAATAAGGTATGATTAAACTAACAAATTAAGCTGCAATAAGAAAAGGCAATCTTTGGGAAAGCCTTCTGCTTGTATTCACTACAATATTAAAGAAATACACTTTCACAATTTGCACTTGGAGGAACACTGTATTTCCACAAGAAGTGACTATCAAGAAAAATGTAGTTGTAAAATTCTCTAAAATCAGATTTGGCATTCCAAACTAGTCATTCTTGACAGCATAACTTTGACCCCTACCTTAAAAGCAATCATGTCCTCATCTGAAAATCTGCACAGAAGTGTGACTGCAAATGCAAGTATCTGATTGGCAACTTCTCTGGGAAATGTTTTAAGATTGATCTCTCCATGGCTTAAATGATCTCTTACCCGTGGACCCTCCTGGTGATTCAAGAAATCCCAAAGAAACTCCTGTGAGAATATATGGTGACAGAGCTAACTATACAGAATACCTTCTGAAATATATGCATATAATTGTGTCTAGAGAAAAAGGGACATTTAGACAGTAAAAAAATAAACAAGAAAGAAAAGATAGAAAAAAGAAAATAAAAAGTATACTCTGTTTATAAACAAAAATGAGGGCAACTCTTCCACTTTCATAGCTTCTGAAAAGATTCAGAACTAACATAGAAGGTATTTCATGATAGTTAGCACCTAATAATCTTTGTTTTCTGTCCCAACTCCTCACAGTCCCACTCCCTCTGGTGCCCAGTGCAGTAAACTCACGTCTTCCCTAGGTAACTTCAATGCCTTCAGTTTTCATGTTCCTCATCTGTTTGGGGGGCAAGACGCAGGATGTGCTCTAGAAGGTTTGCAGTTATGTTTGCACCATCTACACAGCTGATTTAAGCTGTCTCCCAGAATAAATAAGTTTTACTTTTCCCTGAATATGGTACCAGTATTTCTTCTAACTCTACTCATCTGATTTTCATGAGTTTAGTAGGAATCTCCCTAAAACTCCTATTTTTCAGTCATATGGGTATTCTCAAATCCTAACCCAATATACCATGTTCCATACTCCTTTGTATTCCATACTGAATAAGTTAAGGAGCTTTCAGCTTTAAGCTGCTGGAGAGAAGGTATGTGAACTAAGTAAACTTTAGGCATGATCATAAATATATTGCTAAAAGAAAAACAAACAAACAAAGAAAAACTTGTAAAACACTTGCCATTGCAGGTTCTTCAAGAACTAGAGGAAGCTGATTGATTTCTTCATTATTCAAATGTTTTGCTAGCATCTAGAAAAAGCCATTTCGATTAAAAAAACTTACTGGCAAAGCCAAAAGAATCAAGGAAAAAACAGCAATTTAGGTAGTGAACTTCCCTATTATTAAGCAATTATTTCCCCAACTCCAGAATCAAGGTGTCTATTTATTATCCACAATTTTAGAATCAGAAAAAAAAAAAAGAGGATTTTGGCACACATGCATATTTGTATTCATTTCAAATAAGTGAATTTGGGGAAAATGACTGATTGATTTCTGAGAGATAAAGATATACAAGATTCAAACATTTAGGATAAATTAAAGTCTATTCCTTAAATTTTGTATAGATTTTAATGTATATTTTCTGGGTGATTCCAAATTTAAAACATTTTTACTTCCCATCTTCTTCTATTTGGAAATAATTTAGAAGTAATACCTTATTCAACACAATGGGAAAGTGCTTTGCAATCATGAGTAATGAGAAATAGGCATATGCTTTAATTCTGATATTATATTTGAAAAAAAGGAAAAGTACCTCATCAAAAGTGGTGTAGAGAGCAGAAGGCTACAAGAGAAGACAATAAATATTAATCATCCTGCAGAAGAAAACAACTAAACTTGTATATGGAATTTATATTTATTCATTTACATCAAAGAAGTGCAAATAGGGAAAACTTCTTATAAATGAAAAAAAAAAGAGATTATTGGACTTTTTGCCAAGTTCAAAAAAATAAATTACCTACTTGGCACTGTGAACTAGTGTCATTGCATATTAACCTTCAGGTAATTTTTCCAGCTTCTTTTACTCTCAGACATCTCTTTTAAAAATAAAAGAAATATTGGTAAAACTCTCCTAAGAATTTGTAAATGATGTCCCTAAAATTTTGGGGGCTAAAAAAAAAACCTATATATGTTTAGAAATCATGCTTCTAGAAAACTGTTTCGAGAGACTTACCTCAGCTGTTAGCAATCGATTTGGACATTTATTAGTAGCAGTGAAGAACAATCTAAGTCCAACTTCCAGCTGAGGGAGTAAGAGAATCATACAATCAGCATACCTGGAAAAACAGAGAAATACCCAAATGTTTTTTGCCCCTCATACAAGTATAATCAAAGTTGAAATTAGAACCACCTCAGAGAAATACTATCAAAACATGGAAACTCTCAGCCACACAAGCCAGAGCAAAATCCCTTGGTAATTAGCATTTTATAAACAAACACTAAATCACTATCTCTGCCCAACAGAAATGGAACATCTAATTCAAATCAGCTCACAGGTCACACTACCTTAAGGAGGTGAAACACGGGAAAGCAAGGTAATATAATGAATATATATTTTTTAAACTCAGCAGATTCATATCTGCATATGTAAATATTTTCCATTTGCTTTGTAAAGTTCTCCTTCTTGGCTTCATCTGCTGCAGTTCCTCTTTGTAAGTTTTCAAAATCCAGTTCTAGTTTGCACAAAGTACAGAAAATGTAATTCTCCATGGAACATTCAACCCAGAAAAAAAAGTGGCACTTGAGTTTGTCATTTTGCTGCATTCTAATACAGAAAAGTTCTCAAAGCAGACACAATCAAAATAAAACAGTAAGTCCATGAACTTTCTGGGAGAACACCCTAAGAGTGCTGAACTATATGTTGTTAGGCAACAGACTGAACAAAAAGCTTTGAAGTCTACAAATTCTGCTGACTAGTATTTTATAAATAATGGGTATATATAAGCAAAAGTCTTACCAAACAGAAAAATAAGAAAAAAGCATAGTTTACCTGCCTTGCTTGAAAGCTGTTAAAGCAGCGAGCCAAAATGGCAACATCATTTTCAGAACAAAACTGGACAGTTTCACTAGTTCTTCAGCTAAGGAAAGTGTTTCATGATTAAGATCTGCAAGTTAACAAAACAACATTAGTAATAAATATATATGTACAGTGTATTTATTCTTATTATTGCATTGAAGAGATATGAGTCTTCCTTTACAAAAGAAGACTTAAAAGTATTCAATTTAACTATGCAAGTATAATGAAGGTCATAATAAAGATCATAAACTGTGTGATTTTAATTTTGCTTGAAAGATATTTTTGTCCAAACTTAAAATGTCAGGCTAAAACAAAGCACAAACAAAGCAAAACCTGTGGCTGCTTATTAGTGGGATTAAAAGATTGCACAGCAAGTAGGCCCAGCTTCTGTTGAGTTGTTCTCCACCTATTTCAGATAAACTGTAAGACATATTTATCATTTTAATTTTGTGACAATCAGTACACTTGGTATGAACATTCTGCCATTACCTGTACTGTACTTTGATGTTACCATGTCATGAAACTCACACACTCAATGTTATAAATATTTTCCAAGGGAGAGCTTACATTTACAAGGGCAATTTAATTGTAGTAGGTATTTTTGGAACAAATGAATAGTTACAGAATTTATAATGTATCTGATGATCTGAACATTGCCAGTTTCATTTGGTCCCCCAAAGCCATACTGTTTATGCTGTTCATGCAAACATGAACACGTGTGTTCCACTGGCAAGTTGTTTAAATAGCACAAACTAAGTATGATCACCATTAAGACCAAGACTTCATATTTGCCTTCTGAAAGGGCAAATCAGATAACTGTTGTACAACCTGTATGCTCATCGTAAAAAAAAAAAGGAATATATACATACGTATATATAATGTTTCTCTTAGAATAACATTACTTGTTTCAATGTACAGTGCAACAATGTTTTTAGAATGCTTAGAATGCAGTATTTTTTGATCCCATGTTCACCAGAAGTGTCTCTGTATTAGAAAGTTGTCCAACGAGCATGATTGCTTCATCTAATGACATTGTATGCAGGTGTCTTTGTTAAAAAAACTCAATTCTAGATCTGTGAAAAATGCATTATGGAATGAAATTACAATAATTAAACCTTGCTAATAGTTAAATACTTGCCTGGAAATATATTCAGTTCTTCTAAGCTAATGAAGGTCACATATGGTCGATGTATTAAAATGTGTTTTGTCTGCAGAAGGTATGTCTGTAACAACTGGCCCAATCCTGCAGTTAAAAAAAGCAGCATAGCACAGTATCTAGGGAGAATGCCAGAAAATATTAGAAAAGTTTATACAACTAAATATTATGCAAAAGAATAGACATCTGAGAGTAACAGACAAAGATTTTGCCTTTTCAAAGAAAATCAAATGCCTAAGTGCCACTATGCTTTAGAGTTGAGACCC